TCAATGTAAACCCTTTCAGTTTACTTGCTTTAAATTTCATCTTGCACATCCGAGGACAATGACGACGTGCATGTGCATTACTAACATCTTCTCGGCAATATTCCTTAAGAACAGGAATTGCCTCAAAAGCAAGAACCTACACACCACACAAAATCGTGGACTTAAAACTCAATTAGACCAAGTTATACTAAGTTGTACATTTTCATAATTCAATAATTACCTCCAACGGAATGACGAAACTAGAAAAGACCCATTGGTTTGTGCTCAAAACTCCACCAAAGTGGTTCATACAATGAAAGATGTCCTTCATGTTCTCATCAAAAGCCAAACGACCCCAAGGGAACGTTTTACACATGTCCAAATCATCAATAGCCCTAACAAAGAATGGCTCTACGGATGGTGCTTTTTTCCCTGCCTTCTTCTTCCCTATGATCACACTACACAAGAAGTAGAGGACCGCCATCTTCACTCGATCTGGAGAAGCTCTCTTCATCGATAAAAGTTTTGCTTGGACATCATCATATCTTATTGTTGTCCCAACACCAAAATGCTTACCAACAAACTCATTACTGCCCAGAGTTTCCATGTCCCGGGGATACTCATGGCAGTATAAGCCAGAAATCAGTGCCATTTCTTTAAGAGAATATCTGATGGGAGTACCATTTACTATGAACCAACATTCTTTGTTCTTCTCTATAGACGCCGTCCGGAGAAGCAACATCCACATACCCATCAATTTGTGATTGGCATCATTCGGCATATGGAAGAAGTGTTTGAACTGTGGGTGTCATAGGAACCAGTCCAACTCATGAGACTTAAGGTGAGCTCTCAAGAAGTCCACTGTCCTTGTGATATAACACTTAGCAGATAGCTTGAATGGCTTCATGTACTCGGATCTATTGAAGTACATGTTCACCGGTTGCATTACTTCTGTTCCCTCCTCGGATTCCTCCTCGGACTCCTGCAAAACAACATAGTTATACTAAGTTTTCCCAAGTTATACCTTTTGAATTTCGAATTGAAATAAACTAGTTATACTAAGTTCTCCTAAGTTGTACCTTTTCAATTTCTTAGTAAAAAAACGAGTTCGCACAAGTTGTACTATTCTATCCAAGTTGTACATACCGTTGAATCCCCAGAATATGATTCCGGATTTGAATCTGTTTTTTCTGAATCATCTCCACGAGTCTCTTCTTCTTCTGTTGGCTTTTCGACTTCACCTACTGGATCTGTTTCTTTGTTAAAGCTTGCGTTCTTTGTACGCACCATTCTTCTCTTCTCCTTCACACAAAACCAACAACCGCTAATTACAACATACTCGAGTAATAAAACGAAATCAACACCCAAATCGGCTAAACCTAAATCGAGAACACCTAAATTGATAACATTCAAGCGGATGTAACTTAAAATACCCAAAGAATTAAAGGTTTTGACTTACCCTATCTCGGGTTGTCCTTAGTTATACTCGAACTCTTTGTGATTTTTAGTTTTTTCAAAAAAAGAATTACTTAGATGGACCACATTTTAGGTGTATTGACGCAAACCAACCAAAACTTTTTTTTTTCCTTAAATGTTTTTTAATTACCAGCGTGCCCTTTTTACACGTTACCGGAAAAAACTAATTACGGAAAATGCCACTGCCACGTCAGACAAAAAGGCGCGTGCCACCAATAACTCAGCCATAACGTACGTTACGGCTGAGTTATATCACGTTATGGCTGAGTTATGGGACAACGGCTGAGTTTCGGGTCAACGGTTGACTTAGGATCATAACTCAGCCAACAGTTACGACTGACATATAAAAATCTGGTTGAGTTATGAGAAAACGGCTAATAACTCAGCCGCCGTTACGGCTGAGTTATAGTCCGATGGTTGAGTTATCAGAAGTTTGGCTGAGTTATGTTATCGACACGGCTGACTTAACTTTCTCCGGGTGGCTAAGTTATCGATAACGGCTGAGTTATCAAATGTCGTTACGGCTGACTTATGTTTCAGAGACATAACTCAGTCGTAATTGGCTGACTTAACGGAAAACTCAACCATGTTACGGCTGACTTATAGACAAAAGATTTATTGCTAATATAGCCTCCAGTTACGGCTGACTTATTTTACGTTACGGCTGACTTATTGACGTTATGGCTGAATTTGGCATCTTAAAAAACATTTTAGTAATTACTTAAACATTTTTCATGTTGTGGCTGACTTAATTTGTGTTGATGGATGATTTATCGTTGCCTGAGTTACAAAGTTGTTTGGTGGCTGACTTACGACTTCAAATTCACAATTTCACGTCAGCATAAACGAGGGAAATACGAAAGGTCCCGCATTAGCTCGTGTTTTTTCTTACACTTTGTTCTTCATTTCTGTTCTTCACTTCACTTCTGTTTTTCATTTTCACTTCTGTTCTTCATTTTCACTTATGTTCTTCACTTCTTTTCTGCATTTTCACTTATGTTCTTCATTTTCGTTGATGGATCATCCGGTTCCAGTGATTGTTGTGTCTGGTAACTAGGCAAAGAAACAAAAATATGTATTTAACACTGACGATAGAGGTTGTAAAATTGTGCAAATAGATGCGGAAACAACGCACGAGAAGCTAGTGAAATTGGTTCTTGATGACTACGGACTGCATCAACGTGACCTTTCGTCTTCTTTAATATAATAACTCAGCCGTAACATAACTCAGCATACGGAATATATTCATGTTATGTTACTGATAACTCAGCCGTATAAGGTTACTGATATCTCAGCCCAATAGGTTACAGATCACTCAGCCGTAACGCGACCTTTCGTCTTTGTTTCCCGTACGATAACTCAGCCATCACATTAACCAACGCAACTTTCCGTCTTCTTCCTTTATCTCTCTCATCTGATCCTCCCTTTATATATCAGTTTCTTTTGAATGTTGTTTGTTCTTTCTGAACTTCTTTTTGAACTTCTTTGTAATCCCAAACATATATCTTATCTTTTGAATCATGTTTTTATCAATTTTTCTTCATTTTGGCCATTTTAACAGACTTATAACTCAGTCGTAATGTTATCAATAACTCAGCCGTAACGGAATCACGTAAATAATAGGTTATTGATAACTCAGCCGTAATGTTATCCATAACTCAGCCATAACATATTATAAGTCAGCCATACCCTAAATATGCGTTATGTCAATTACTTTGTTATAACTCAGCCGTAACGGAATCATGTAATTAATAGGTTATTGATAACTCAGCCGTAATGTTATCTATAACTCAGCCATAACGTAGTATAAGTCAGCCATACCCTAAATATGCGTTATCTCAATTTTTAG